TAATGGACTGATTCGCTTTAGCAAGATCAGGAGAGTAAGCGATATGAAGCAAACATTTCATATGAGTGACTCGAACAATACGTGGTTTTGCATTATAGTGTAAGAGCAACACGTCTTTACGATTAACCAATGGTAGGCGCCTTTTCTGCAAATTATATTGTACATTGCACTGGGAAAATACCGACAAAAAAAACACAGCAAGTAGAATTAAGTATGGCATTGGAAAGAGAGCCCTGTAATGTGTTGTTTTACTAATGACTAGCAGTAGAGGCCGGCGTTGCCCGGGGATGTAACAGTAAGAGATAGATCAAGTATCGACCATCATAAAGACTGAAAAATAAAATTGACAAAGATTATTGTTTAAGGTTGACGGACACGCATGTCTTAATTAGATTTTTTTTTTGTTGTTTTTTTTACGAATTGGTCAAACTCAAACCCAAACAAAAACACTGTTTTGAATCGTTATGAGTCTATCGATTGAATAGAATTTTATTATAAACAATTGTCTTGTAAGTGGAATTTTTAAAGCTTTCTGAATGTAAAAATAAAGAAAAAAGTGTGCAAGACAATAAAAAACACTACCTACCCAAAAAAAGTTAAGTTTTGTTGAAATCGGTTAAAAAATGTAGGAAATCCGATCCCATATATAAACGAACACACACACACACACACACACACACACACAACCTGGGTTTTATAATAAGTATAACTCGATATGAGTTGTCCCCCTTTCATTCTGGCGACAGAATCGTGTTTTATCGTGTTTTCAAATTGATTTCGTGCAAAAACAATTGTGTTCTTCCAATTTTTGCGCTGTCAGAACCACTGCAAGGTAATTTTACGCAGTCCTGTGAAGTTTTGTTGAAATTGGTTGAAAAATGTAGGAAATCCGATCCAATATATAAACGTACAGACACACACACACACATACACACGCAATCTGCGTTTTATAATAAGTAAGATGAACAGAGTTGAGCTTTTCGTTTTGTTTTTTATCACTTCCGCATAAACGGCCCCCTTCATTTCCCACCAAACACGGCCTAAACTTTTTTCGGATGTAGTTCTGGTTGAGGGATGGGTTCAACTTTTTCAGCGGTGCTAACCATCATCGTTTTCATTAGATATGATTATAGAGAATCCATTTTTCATCACTGGTGGTGATTCTACCAAGAAAAGATTCTGTAGCAAGATGGTGACGCACAGAGGGTGACGCACATTGAGAAGCAGTGTGATGCTCACCGTCACACTGCTTATTGAACAAGGTTCTCAAGTTCATGAAGGTGTTTTATGATCAAAGTGTAATTTCTATTGAATTGTTTTGTTAATTCTCCGTGTAGTTTGCTTACGATTTTTCTCAACTACATTTTGCTCAATATTGACCGAACTTGGTCGTCCAGATAGATGGGAATCTTGAAGAGAAAGCGGCCAAACCACTATTGACATGTCCGAACACTTAAATATTTCTTGTCGCTTTGGTTACTAAACAGCCATTTTTCGATCCATACAGCATATAATGTTTATTATAAGCTATTAAAAGGGTTAAATCGATAAAAATCTACCCAGTCTGATTATTAACTAATCTACAAAAATGTAACAGAACTTTCTTTCCAAACTAATACTTAATTCTACTTGCTATATTTTTGCGTCGGCATTTTTTCCAGGCATGTATCGTCTGATTCTTTGAGATGACAGGAGCATACATCAATCTTTAGACGTGAAAATATGTAAATATAATAAATGGGGAAAAGAATAATAAACAAAAGAAAAAACGAGGCGATTTTAATCTCTCCTCAAACTGAATGTTTGTTTGTTATATAAAATAGATTTATCTACGAATAGTCACAACTGGAGCTTTATCTATGACGCTTCTTGTCAACTAAACAATGATGTGTGATATGATTTCGCTGATTGATTGGCTTGAGTTTACATCTTTCATTAAATCGACTAATATATAGAATACATCTCTAGAAAAAATGAAAGGATCAAATGAAGCGCAAATAAATGAAGATATGTTAGTAAGTCAGCAGCCTAACGATGAAAAATCATAAATTTATGCATTTAACTTTCAATCTTGTGTAGTATGTGACTCATCCCAGATGATGACAGAATAGATTTTGTACTCAGTGTGCCTCGGTGGGTTGACCCGAGAGATGGCTCCCCGTCAACTAATTCCAGATCCCCGCTTCACATGTTGTTAATGGCTGACCCCAATAGGTAAACATGTGGTCGACCCCGATGCGCCTGGGATGTGTACGCGTGGGAAAAACTGTATGAATGCTAGATATATAAATGCTCATCCAAGAGGTAGAGATTTCGGTTTCTTGCATATTGTCAGTCCTCAGAAAAATGTAGGGACCACGTCCGGAGAGGGCTCAACAGTCACACCCCCATGGGCCGACAATAATTGTCGGGGATGTATAAAATATAACATATGAGAGATATTCATGAGACGACAACATTACGCTTGTGAGTGCCGCTAATATTGTGATGAATATTAATCACCTAGAGCATTATACAGTTAAAAGTTAGATAAAAATTCAGTTACCAGGTTATAGATTTATTAATTCACCTTCAGTAAAAGTGATATATATGTGGTAAAAACGTTTTATTATTTATTAGCAATTTTAATGTGCTTGTCATAAGGTGTCGATAAAATGGCAGATTACTTTGTTGTTTTATCCATGATGAACAAACATGGTTGTGATTTTCGCAAGTAATTATGACATACTGCATTTTATTAAAATTTTATTAAACATTTTCCATGATTTTCTTGACTGCTTCCATTTTGCTTTATGTACGGCAAGAAATCTTTTGTGGTATTGATTTTTGGTCAAGTGATATTTTATCGTTTTCTTATTGGTTTACAACAACGTCTTCGTTCAAAGATATATTTGGAATGTTTGAACTAGAGAAATCGCACTGATAAGTGAAAATTATCATTGTTTATTGAACTGAAAAACAAATCAGTTGCCGCTGTTTGAGGCTGCTCGTGAATTTTTTCTTTTTTCTGGAGCCATCTTTGCTAATAACTGAGCCAATTTAGGCTATATGCTATACAACAAAATATAGCTTTAACTGATCACCTAAGTTGAAACCCAAATTGCTTGAACAGCTATGTTGGAAACTATCTATACATAAATTGAATAACATCCGTCCGCCACACCCTCTAAAATATCCATAGATTGACCAATCGAAATAAAATTTTGGGGAGAAGTGCAAACAGGTAAGGGGGTACAAAGTACTGTTATTGTACTGCAGCCTTACTAGGGTACAGTACAATAAATTTTCATTCATTTTGGGGTAAAAAATGAAAAGTTTTCTTATTTAGCATATAAAATAGTCACACTATTTAAAAAAAAAACACTTTAAAAAAATAAAATATTAAAATAGCAAATACTTAAAATAACAAATACTTACTTAATAAAAATTCAATAATGTTTTTTTGCATATCTTTTCTTTAAGTTTTTATATACACTAGAATTCAATTTCCAGTTCAACCTGCGTTTCCGAAAACTATAAACAAATCACAAGGCCAAACGCTTCCAAAATTTGGAATTTAGCTCCAGAAATAAATATTTGCGTATGGCAAGTTGTATGTCGTATGCTCAATGAGTAAGAAATTCTAATTTATTCTTCACTGTTAAAAAGAAAAATGAGATTTTCTTAAAAAATTGTTTACGATGAAGTCCTATAAAATTAAATGAAATTAAAGAAATTATTAAACTACGAAGTAGGTTTTTTGTCAAGGTATTTTCCAAACAAGTCAGCTCATTCATATTTCATCGATTTGTTTGCAAAATTGAACGAAACATAGAGTTTGTAAATCTCGACAAAAATGTTAGCGATAACTTCGACAATACTTAAATACTATAAGGATTTCAACACATTGTCAATTCTAGTTACGAAAAATACAAATTGTTATCGCTTTCTCAATTCAAATGTAGTTTTTAAAAGACTTATGTCACCATCATCATCAATTAGTCCCCATGACCTGGTTTAGTCATCAGATCACAGCTGATCAACTAACCTGCTTCCTTCCTATATCTCAATTGTATGCCATTGTCTGAGTTTCTATAAACGACCTTTAATTCTATTCAGTGACGTTGTCATTCCATTTCTCCCTCTTTCTACCTCTTTTTCTTATGTCTAAGATGGTATTGATTTTCTAAGCGAGGCTTAGATATGGCATATGGCTGAAAGTATGGGCACCCAGTGAGGAACGAACTCACTATTCAGTTGTAACAGTCTTAGCAAGACCAGCTTGCTAACCATTACACCACGCCCAGTCTTATCTTGTAGGATGGTAGTGGAAAGTGATCTTCCATTGTGACTGTTTATTGTGTGTGATGGTGTTTCGTACTTTGCCATTTGTGATGAGATCTACGTAAAAGATACCTAGAATGGTTCTGCAGCATCTCATTTCTAATGCATAAATTCTTCGATGAAATTCTGTTAATGTCCAAGATTTGCAGGCTTACTGAAAGACTGAGAATGCCGATACACGCAACAGTCTGATACAATTTAAAGCAGATATTCTTATCTTCCCAGATGGTTCTTTATAAGGATTGTTTATGATGCTCTTGAAATTATTTCTATTCTACACCCAGCTGATAATCAATCCATTTTCTCTATATACTATTCAAAAGAGTATAGCTTCAACTGACCAAATATGCCGAAACCCAGATTGCTTAAACAGCTAAACTAGAAACCTCACGAAAAGTATAAACTGATCCTTTCTCTCGAATTTTTTTTTAATAATGGGCTATCTATTTCACAGAATGGTCGTAATAATTGTTTTGGCTTACCTAATCTTTAATTTATAAATATCTGATCTTTCTTGCTGAATCAGCAAGACTGCAAAATAATTTTCGTATAATTTATTACGTCCACATTTTCTTTCCGTTTTGTTTCTATCGCGTATTCATATAAATTTTCCCTTTTTTCCCCTTTCAGGCTATGGACACGTTTCTCCTTCTACAATGTGGGGCCGCATCGCCACTATGATCTACGGAGCCATAGGGGTACCGCTGGCCCTTCTTGTCCTGGCTGACATGGGTCGCCACTTCACCGTGTTACTCAAGTTCCTTTGGGTGGTCACCCACAAGTCCATCGATGTAGGAGCCTGCATCTATCGTCACTCGGCTTCAGCTGCAGCCACAGCCGGCGGTGCCGTTGTCGCTGTCGGCCGTCGAAGGATTTTAAGGGATGGTCAACCTCCGTACAAACCCGCTGGCAAGATGTCTGGCGACGAGAGTCGTGCTCCTCTGGCAGAGAAAGAGGATGATTCAGAAAGTCCGGTACAAGAAAAGCAAGTACAAATAGCCGAGCCAAGTAACCAGAGTAAAGACGAAGAGAGCTTCTTCGGCGGCAAGAAACCTACTTTGGCAGACATTGACGATCAGTTTAATTTGCCAATAGGTAAATAATAAAAGTTTGAAGCATATTGTTCATTTTATACAAAGATAGTTACACATGGGTACACACGAGGGAGGCATGCATCAATAAGATCTTAACCTCAGTCAGTTATGTGTCATACGTGATACACGCTTACGCAGATTTTTTCCCGCAAAAGGTTGCCATTTCTTTCTACGGTAGACCAGTTGCCTTGGATGGCAAGAACCCGGTCTGTCCTGCTATTTACCCATAGTTGGGCTGAGAATAAAAGAATTCATGGCTTTTCCAAGGGTATTAGTACGTAAGTGAGTGTAATGGAGTGTAATTCTCCGATTCCTCAATCCGAGCCGTTATCCATTATTCCACCGTGTCTCCTTCAGTTATGTGCCATGCGTGATACACGATGAGGCGGTCATATATCTTTCGATAAATTACTGACAGATTTTTTTCCCGCAGTAGGTTGCCATTTCTTTCTGCAGTAGACTAGTTGCCATCCTGGTTTGTCCTGCTATTTACCCATAGCTGGGGGAGAAGAAGAGGAGTCATACCTTTCCCAAGGGTATTAGCGCGTAAGTGAATGTAATGGATTCGACTGGAATTCGAACTCGGCTCTGCGATTCTTCAATCCGAGCCGCTATCCATTACTCCACCTTGCTTCCAATGCAGCTATTAAATCTCAAATGTTCACTGTATCATACTCGATTTATCTGATGAACATTAATCTCTGAATTAAATGCATTGACAAAGAAAACATTATGTCGAAAGCTAAATATTTGTTGTGTGAAATAATTGCTTTTTTTAACCTTAGATTGCAAACTTACTGATGAACCTATGCATGACAATATTTTTTATTTTAAATTATTTTTTTTGGTGCGTGCAGTTTTCAACTGTTTTCAGATTCAGATTCTAGTTTTTAAAAAAGAGCACTGGAAACTTTAGCAAACACCTAATAAATTAACTCTTTGACTTCATCAAACTCGCTTACTTGACAAGAAATAAAATATAAGAGAATAATTATGAAACACTTGTTTAAAGTATTTGTATCGAGACAGTGTTTCAGTTTATAAATGATCATCACCCAGTGATTTGCTTAAAGAAACTGAGATGTTTTAACATTTGAAATGGGTTCAGTCAAAGAATTTACCCCTTTTGGCATAAATTCGGTTAAAAGCGCCAAATTCTATAGAGGAGATAATAAAATAATAAAATTTACCAATGCAATTTTCTGTGTAGTATTTTAGACGACAGAGAAAATTCTTATCAAAACTGACCAACTTTGGAAGAAGAAAAGAGTAAAATCTGCATAAACACTAATGCTCGAATCAACAGCCACAATAAGCACAAATCGATTCTTTTTATCGACTTTTTATCATAAAAAGGAACATTTTTCAAAGTCTAATCTCCCATTTATAACTATCTGATATTTATTACATATATGCTTGCAAGGAAGACTGCAAACAAACTACAGTGCTTGCGATAAACAAAGTATTTCTTTCTTTAATTCATGTATTTATATTCACAAGAAAAATAGCATACATTTTTTTCGAAACAACGTTTGTATAATCATTCAACCGTAAAAATTTTAATTAATTTAAATTATTTAATAGTTTTATCGAAATTATTATGACCATTTACATTAACCACAAAACGTGTTTAAAACGCTTGTCGTACTAATTTTATATTATATTAAATCATAAGCTATTTATTTAAGACATATCCTTGGGCATATCCAGGAAATAGCAAGAAAATGTGGAGTGAGACGGTCATAAATTATTAAACTCCACTTGTTAAAAACGTCGTATTAATTTCATTTTAGACTTTTCGCTTCAATTTGGAACATTTGTGTTTACCTACAACACAAATGAACAACGTTCGAACCTTGATAAAAATCCAGGTTTTCAACTGTAGGTTGTATCGATTTAAAAGTTTGGCGCAGCATAAACTTCTTTTTAACTAATTTCTTCCAATTTGGCGTGGTACTAAGCTAAGATTAGTATCTTAAAACCTTTTAATCTGGTTTGAAGAAAATTTGTATTAGATTTCAGTATTGTTAGTTACAGATCCTTCATTCTTAATTAAGGCACGGTGGAGTAATGGATAGCGGTACGAATTGAGGAATCGGAGAACCGCGTTCGAATTCCAGTCGAATACATTACATTCACTTACGTGCTAATACCCTTGGGAAAGGTATGAATCCTATTCTTCTCCCCCGAGCTATGGGTAAATAGCAGGATAGACCGGGCTGGCAAATGGATTGCAACTGGTCTTCCGCAGAAAGAATTGGTAACCTACTGCAGGAAAAAATCAGCCTCGTCAGTCATGTATCGAAAGATATATGATTGCCTAAGCGTGTATCACGCATGGCACATAACTGACTGACTGACATTCTTGTAACATTTGTATTAGGTGTTTAAAAAAATTTCCGTAGTCCTCATTTTTTAAATCTAAAGATTGAATATGCAATAGAAAACTTTGTTTCCTTTCGGTGTGTATATTTTTCTATGTTTAAGTGGAATGAGGGTAGGATGAACCGTGAAATGAGTTAAAGGCGACAGAAAAAGGAAAAAAGAAAAGCTTTTATTCTAAATAAAAAGGTAACAAAATGGACGAGGTCCTTTTGGTGATTACCAAACTTGTTTCCATTGTAAAAGAGTTCCATAAGAGTTTGTTTATTTGTACGCTCTTAATATTTTGGCGTCAGATGATTCTCACAGAAGTAGGACTATTTATACTTTCCACATTTTGCAGCAATAAAAGTGAAGAATTTGTTCTCATGAAATCGTAAGGCTATATTCCCAATTATGTCATTTTTACAATCGATATATTAAAACAGAACACTCTATCGAAAGAATTCTCAAAATAATGCAATCATGAGACTAAAGAAGATTCTCTCAATGCAAGATGCATGAAAGTAAGACTTGCGTCACTGATTCGAAATTTGTCACTATCTAGAAAAATAGGGAGGAGAGCAAAAGTTAAATATAATTGAATATATATATATATGTGTAAAAATTATATTATTCCAATTTTATCAGCTGAAGAAGTGTCAGTTAGTTGCTGAAATGTTGCAAGAAAGGCAAAAACGATGAAGCTGTTTTGAATGAATCAACATATTAGACTGAGTCATAAATAATTTCCGCTTTTGTTTATCAACTTTATTCTTCAAAAATAAAGTACAATTGCATTTTATTCGATTATATATCTGCCATTATTTGAAATAAGCTTGCCGTTTATCAGCTTTTCGATACATTTTCAGTAAAATTCCGCAGTTTTGATGTGAGAGAAAAAGAGACAGACAGACAAACAAATGAAGAGAGAAGAGAAAAAGTGTTAGACGGATTGAAAGAAAGAGAGTGAGACGGACTGAGAGAAAAGGGGGCAACAGAATAACAGAGAGAAAGAGAGTTACATAAATGGAGAGAGAGAGAGAGATAGTTACATAAACGGGGACATATATATATATATATATATATATATATATATATATATATATATATATATATATATATATATACACAGTTACATGGACGGAAAGAGATAGAAAATAAAAACAGTTTAAAGAGAAAGTTAAACAGATGGAATGAGAGCTAACAAACAAAGAGAAAGAGACACTCAAATAAGCCGGGAGATAGTCATACCGAAAACAGACTGACAGAGAGAGAAGAAGAGAGAGAAGACAGAGACGAACTCTGGTTTTAATGGCGGTTTTTATCCATCAAAGCGTATTGCAAGTCATAAAAGGTAACAATTGGTTGGTACAAGGTCAGGTGAATATGGCGGCTGGTCTAGAACAGGCTAACCGAGTTCCACATATTTTTCTTGTGTTATTTTACTGTATGAGGCCATGTGTTGTCATGGAGAAGAATAACATTTGCCTATTGACGAGCTTAGGGCGCTTTTCGACCAAACTTTTATCGACACATTGCAGCTGCTGGGCGTATAAATGTACATTTAATGTTTCATTGCATTTGAAGAACCCAAATACTCTGACAATCTCACAACCCGCACAATATTGCCTTTCTTCTATAGCAGTTGTTGCCAAACTTTTTTTTCTCTAGGCCACATTTTCGGAATGAAAATTTGCAAAGGGAAGTCCCGATGAAATGGCGCTAGCAGCCATACGACAAAGAAGGTCCAGAGAGGGTTAAATGAAGATAACCACGGATTCGAAGTCAAAAATTATCATTGATAACGCTCTTCTCCAATTTGCAGACCTTAGTTACTATATTCTTAATACTTGATATAATGCAAAAATATTACAATGATAAAATCGGTCAATAATTATTTATAAATATGTATAGTGGGACTCATGCATACAATTACAAGTAGTCTACAATAATATTTTAAATTGTGAAATCATATTTATTTTTGGTATATGAATTTTTTAAAACTATTTCTAAATCTTTGATTGTCTTTCTACGTCAGTTGCTATCTTCTTTCAACCGCAATTAGGAGGAGCGCCGCGATGTTTTGAAGTACTGATCTATTGAACTCAGATTTTGGGGTCGTTTGTAGATATTTATCCTTGTCAACCCACTGCATTCTGCATTGAACATTATTGCATGTAAACCATTTTTCATCACCTGTTTTTATATATGTAAATTCAATTAGAATGATACATTCATCATTACAATATGTTTTCAAAAGCGAAATTACTTATGACTCAAACTCGTATAGCAGTAACAATGACTCATCTCAGATTCAGGTAAACATTTTCTTTTTAATCTTTTGCAGGTATCGCTTTGGTGATTCTAGTTGTGTACACGTTTTGTGGGGCGCTAATCTTCAAAGAATGGGAAGAATGGGACTACCTGGAAGCCTTCTATTTTGTTTTTATCTCAATTAGCACAATCGGATTTGGAGATATTGTGCCACAGCATCCAAAGTTTTTCTTATTATCTTCAATCTATATCTTTTTTGGCTTATCGTTAGTCTCTATGTGCATAAATGTAGCCGTTCAGTTCTTCACCCGGACCATCAGAAAGGCAAAGGCCACCATGAACGAAATCTCAGACAAGGCCCAGAAAACAGCTTCCATGACAATTGGAAAAGCAAAATCTGCAGTGGTCAAAATCGCCGGTGAAGCCGCAGATGAACACCAAGAAGGCGAAAATGGAGAAACAGGCGCCCAGCGACGTGACAGTTCTAGAAGCTTACGGAGATTTTCTCTACGCAGGTCACTCAGCTGGCGAGGCAGTCGTAAATCAAAAGCGTCGAATGAAGACGACAACTCGTCCGGTATTGAAAAAGCGACCGGATCAGACGCCATTGCTGACAAAGAAGACAACCAATCTCGCGTTGCTATAGAAACCCAACCACCGGAAACGACTGACAATGAGAAACCATCGAATACAATCGTAGTAATACCAGCCACACCTACCTCGCCGATTAACCCTGTCTGATAAAACTAACACTACATTTTTAATTATTTTATTTCATTTGAATTATTTCAATTATATTTTTTCGGAAGCGAGCAAATGAAAATAGTCAATAATAATAATAATAATATCTATAAAATATTTGAGAGGTCGAAATTAAATGTTGCAAAAATCAATGAAATTGTTTAAAAAAAAAGTCAAATGTGTGCACGAATATAATTGTGCCGTACTGTGAAATTGTTGTAATATGAGATGATATATATATATATATATATATATATATATATATATATATATATATATATATATATATATATGGGTGAATTTGTATGATAAAGTTGAAAAAGTTTACTTGTGACGTGTAGTCTGATAAAGTCTTGAAAGACAAAACGCGTTTTCCACTTTGTCATACAATTTCCCCAATACTGTTCCTGATATCTAAAAATATATATCGTTATCTCATATATATAATGTGAGTACCTCTGTAAATAAATTGGTCTTTTCTTTTATAAATATTAAGATATTTGGGATATTGCAAATAAATACTAATCGTGATAGCAACAGCAAAAAAAAAATGAATGCTTTTTGACACGATGTACGCATTTGACGGAAAATTGACACGATGAAATAATTCTAATGACAACGTATGTGTAAATCGCCACTATTTTAAAAATAACAAATTGTGGTTGTTTATTAATTTGGAAAACAGAAAGATAAAACCATATCTCGAAACAAGAACCTTTTAGATATACACGTGCATAAATTATGCTTGCGCATGTATATCGGTAAGCATGTTAGTAATGGTCAAAATTTACTCAGTGAGTGCACAGTAGAAAATTGTGTCGTTTGGTTGACTATGTAAAATAAGTTTGTCTATGTATAAATATGTTTATCCACAAGCTTATCATTTGGCTTGCATGTTGGAGACCTCCACAAACATGTATATTGCACTATCCTCGCAATGCACCTGAGCTTACCTGAGCAGACACACCTGTGAGCACTTTCGATAACATACACATACAGATACACGCACACTCATGTTCACATGCACAAACCGCAAGCGCCTATACATTAGACACAACATACACATATTTCAGTATTCCTTGTGTGTATAAGGCGTTACATTAAGAGAAATAGTCGATTTTATCTATATTTTTTTTAATTATATGAAGCATTTCATCTTAATTAGAGTTGTTCTTCATTACAACCACTTAAACTAGTCTGTCCAAGATCATCCATAAAAAGTGTTAATGAAAAATTATGGCGGTCTTAGAAGGACGTTCTGAGTAGTTTCGATGAAAAGCAACTGAAATTAAAATGAATGAAATACAGTGTAACCCCGATATAAGAGAAACCCGGATATAAGAGACTTCTTCTCCGGTCCCGACAACTCAACTTATATCCGGGTTACACTGTACTAGCCAATATTTATATAAAGTATGTCACTCACTTTAGTTTATATGCTGCATCAAATATAAGCACCTCAATAATTTACAATATGCCCAGCACACTACGTATATACTCGGTAGAACGATTATTATTTTTTTTTATAAATTTAACATGTTTCGGTATTCAATTTAGCTTCATCAGGATTTTCTTTTTCTTTTTTTTAACATGAAATAATGAGAAATCATTATTTCGCAGTCCAAAAATTTCTGATAGAGCGAAATTAAACAGCGAAACTCTATTCGCTTCCTCATTTAATTATATATATGCATATGTATGTATGGGTGTTTGTGTATGTGTGTGTGCATGTGTGTGTGTGTGCATATATATATTTATTCATGTGATTAAATAGATAGATATGTATATGTCTAGTTCAACACAGTTAAATACAGCTATACGTAGCATACATATCAGGGTTGGCCAAACTGCGGCTCGCGAGCCACATACGGCTCACTGACCTTTAATATGCGGCTGGTGGGAATATGTTAGCTGAGCTCATTAAAACAATCATATTTGAAGATTTTGAAAACATTTGGTAAACATTTGGAAAACATATATATATGTGTGTGTGTGTATGTGTGTGCCTGTGTGTGTCTGTTGTGTGTGTGTGTGTGTGTGTAAATTAACAGTTTAAAAATCTGCATACATGTATAAATATTATTGTATACATGCATTTTTTTAATACTTATATAAATATTTTATCGTATGTGGCAATGAAGCAAGTTTGGCCAATATATATATATATATATATATATATATATATATATATATATATATATATATATATATATATATATATTCCGATTCGTAACAATATTCTAGATATGACGACGGCCTTTTCCCCAATATTTTAATTCTTATAAATTTAATATATCTTTCTTTACATATGTGCGTGCATATTATTTTAATTTTTTTTTTTTTTTTTTTTGTTATACAGTTTGTCGAATCTGAATTTTTATTATATGCATACAAATGTTGCTGTTTTTTAAACATACATAATTTTTACATTTTAGTTTATGTGCTATATTGGGTAAGAAAGTAAAATTAGCGGATATAAGCTTCGAAAGATCCCAACGAGAATTTGTATTTCTTAAATTGGGTAATAGAGCCTTGTTTTGCTGTAAAAAAGACTTTTTTTTTTAGTATAATGGTTAAGTTCACGTGGCTTGAGAGCGGTTTTCCAGATTAAAAATGGATTACAAGTTCGATTCCTGTCAGAAGTTAATTTCTCTTTATTAAAACTTTCGGTCTTTTTCCTGTCTAAAAAGTATGGATGTATATTCCATCACTTGCACCCTAAAGATAATGGTTAATAGTAATAAGTAATTTCTATATATTCAACCTGTTCTTTAGTTTCGTATTATGTAAAATGTTAAACCAAACCCACACGATTGTTAGAATGTGTTTAGCAATTTTTTCAATTTGCTTAGATAATGAGGCCTAGATAATGAGTGTTTGTTGGCGTATATGTACATATGAATATAGTTAACACAATTTAAATTAAACATGATGGACATGAGTTTTTGTTTCTTTTTAGTTAAGTTTTCTTGTTGAAATCCAGCCGCATGCCTGAATTCAATGAATGCAAATAATACTGTCCAAACGTTTTTTAAGTCTAACGCTTTCAACCATACTTCCCGCCATAGAGATTATTCCCCAATATTAATATGTTAATGAATATGTTCGAAAACGCTAGATTCCAAAGGTTTGAACAATATTGTTTACACTCAGTGAATTCAGCCATGCTTTATTAGTTTGTATTTTGGGGCGGGGAGTGGGCATAAACAAGAACTGAAAGTAGTAATTATAATAATATAATAATAATAATGATGATTGTTTTCTCAAGCAAATGACTACACTATAAATGTCTATTATCGTTATATTTATTTTCCATATAAAAATGAGTGTTTGCATCTTTTGTACGAGGACATGTTTTGTTTGTTTAGAAAATGTAACTGTGACGATAGTTACGTGACAATAGGAAACATCGCAAGCAAGAAAAGTAAAAGAATAACTGTTGCTTTGTTCAAGATGCTTTCATAAATCCATATATAAAAATTGTACACGCTGCAATATAATGTTTTGTGATGTCAAAGAAAACATACAAACTAAAAAATAAGCAAAAAAAAAAAAAGAAAATCTACATAAAATGATTTGCCAACGCAAAAATATTAAAAAAAAATAAAAACAAAAAAAAAACACTTGCTGGTGAAGTGCGCTTGTGAAAAAAAATGCTATTTTTCTTTCTTTCTTTTTCTTTTCTTTTTTCTTTTTTTTTTTTTACTTATCATTTCTCCTAAAAAAATGTAGTTGCTCTAATAATACTGAAACGTTTCTCTATAATTGTTTTGTATTGTTCAATTAGAAATTTCAAATCTCACCACTGATTTGCTTGCGCGTTAATATTTTTTTAAATTTTTTATATCGTACCACCGACATATTCTCTACATTACATAAAAGTGCCTCTTTTTGATTATGTATGGCTATTTTGCATTTTTTCTTCCAAGCATGCGTGTACTTGTAAGTATGCATCAACGCGTCTATATACTTTTTTTTATATAAGTGTATGCATGCTGAGGAATAACTAATGCTCTGAGCAGAGACTGAACGCGCAAATATTATTTCAGACGTTCTATATGGACGTGGCTCTGACGTGGTCATCAAATTAACTTATTGCCACAACATTCATTTTAATAATTTTATTATGTATAGTATTATGGTATATAAAAAAAAACTAATGATCCAAGTTGATATTAATCTATGAACCGTGAAAAGAACTTTCAAACAAATCAAGAAGGTAAAATGCAATGATTTATTGTCATGTGGAGTTTCTAACGGATTTTGACACAACGTTACATTATATAGAGTTCCGAATGATGATTATGAGAAGTCTTCTTAATAATAACAACAACAACAATAATAATAATAATAATAATAATAATAATAATAATAATAATGCAAGTCTCTTATCAAATTCAAATAAACAGATTGACAAGTCAATAGGAGAAAAGGTATGAAGTCGTCAATTGAAATAAAAAAAAAAAAAGTTCAGCATTGCAAAAACTTTTAATCCAGAATATTCTGGTTTTCTCAGTCTTAGCTAATTTTCAGACAGGAAATAAACGGCACTCCATTCACTTTAACGAGACACCTATTTACGATTTGAAAAATCAATAAGTATGCTGACCATTGGAACAGAGGAACTGAAAGAAAAAATATCAAGCCGACAAAATGGGAAATATTGGAAAACGATTGGTTATTAAAAACAAAAACAAAAAATAGTGCAAATTTATAGCACTTATGACTCACCATATTCGAAAGTTCACTGAAAGAATTATGATGCAAATATTTAAACTTCAATTTTTACTTTAGGATGAAAACAGATGAATTTTTTTTTTGTAGAATGTCTGATATTTATAGAATAATTATCAGCATCTCATATAAAAGTACAATCGAACCAGAGCACAAATATTGGTCGTTAAATGATTACAGCTTAAAATACAATGAACCGATTTGAATTGGCAATAAATAATACCATAGTCCATAAATACAACCAAAATGTGATACAGAGATACATG